AAAAAAACAAAAACAAACTAAAAGATTTTCTGCACAGTAAGAAAAAAAAACCTTGTTCTTCAACTAAGAAGAAGAACAAGAACAAGAAATGCTTTTTATATGATTGTACAGGGCAACAAATATCTTAGAAAAAACTGGTATAGGAGAAGCAATAAATACACATTTTGACAGATGTATTCTTGTATCCCCTTCTCTGGCTTGGATTCAGGAGAGCATTTAATTGCACCAATAATTACATTTGCTTTAATTTAAGTATGCACTTAAGTGCTTCCCTGAATCAGGGCCTCTCAGTACGGATAACGCAGACATTAGAATAGCCTTTCCCTTTGAAACTGAAGTCCCTGTCTTTGTGCTCTACAATTTCATAAATATCAAACAATACAAGTAATTTACCAAACGCACGTCACATTTGAAATGAAAGATCTAATTTGCTCCCTCTCTACATTTGTCAATTATGGAACTGAAACATAAATGTTCAGTGAACCTTTATATTGGGTAGTAGATAGGACTAGCCTTTTCTCCCTTTCCCCTGGAATTATCTGGCAAAGTGCTATGCTGGTAACAGGGAATACTCTGTCTTTTAGGTGGCAATTAATTGTTCCTACAGCATGAATAGACCCAAAATTGACCCTAGGGGGGTGTGGGACCTGGGGCATATCCAGTGCTGTAGCACTGCCCCATGCGCCCCAGATGCCACACAATCTTCAGTGGGAGCAGTGGTGGGGGGAGTGGTGAGCAGCTGGATGCGAAGCCAGCAGCGATGTGCAGTGGTGGCGCAGAGTGGGACCGGGAAGGGCCGTGGCCATTCTGCCTGTCTCCACAGGGCCCTCCCAAAGCATGGGGCCTGGGGAAGTCACCCCAATTAACCCCCCACCAAGGGACAGCTCTGAATAGACCCATCGTGCAAGAGGTGGGAAATTCTGGACAAGCCCTGTTCACCATCCCTCTCCGCATCCATACTCTGATACTGAGCTAGATGGACCTATGATCTAACCCCACCATCTAGGATGGTAGCAATGAGGGTGTGGCCACATCCCCTTCTGCTGTGTGGAGTATTCACAGTGAAGAGAACTCATTGTGCATGTGCATTCAGACGTGCATGGATGTTTGGTTCCTCGAGGAAATCTAGTGGCAGCGTACCTTGTGCCGCTGCTAGTTGTCATTGGGGAACGCCTGTGCCATGTGCACTCTGGAGCACGGCGAGTTACCCCAGGTGGTGTAGGAGAGGTTGGGACCAGCACCAGGCTGGCCTCAGCAGCCTTTCCTGGGGTCCTGGGAGCCTCCTGGGGGTTCAGCAGTGGTGAGTCTGCCGTGTGGAGCCTGACTGGCAGTGGAGTGCAGCTCCGGCTGGCCAGGCTCTGGCTTTGGGTGGTGCACGCTGCCCCCATATGTGCCACTCCACTTTTTTTTCTGTGTGTTTTTCTGACCCCAGGGGTCAAAAAAACCCTCCAAGCTGCTCCCTTGCAGTGCAGAGAACAACTGAACATGTGGTATGTGGCACTACAGATGTGTCTGCAGTGCCACATACCACACGGCCGTGCTTGTCTGGACACAGCCTATGTGGCTTCAAACCTTTGATGTGATCCTAGATGCCCATGAGCTCCAAGAACTCACTGGCATATCTGCATAGCTCCTGATGGAGCTCTTCCCCTTCTCCTTCCCACCACTTGGGGCCAATTCAGCAGCAGAGGAAAGCAAGGGTTGAGGATCACTGCTGCTGCCACTCATCCTCTCCTCCCCACTGCTGCTGAATTCAGAGGTGGGGGGAGGAAAGGCAGGAGTGGTGGAGGGAGGGAGAGGAAGAGCAAACAACAGCAGGCTCTGGAGCTGCTTGAAAACAGGGACTCTGGGCAGACCAACTGGTGTGTTCATAGAATTCTCAACACATGTGGAGCTCCCAGTATTAAATAACTGGGATACTATTGCACTATTTACAGTAAAAAAACCCAACCCCTTTCTCTTGCCTCAGACCCCAGCATCACCATTTAGCATCTGCAGACCAAGTTTTACCAGGAACTCAACATTTTTGAGAAATAATTTTCTTTCCCTAATTAGTTGTAAATGATTACCTGACACAGTGTCAAACATAAAAAGAAGGCAAGTATGCTACAAACCATCCCAGGCAAGAAGAGATTAATATACCAAGTGTATTGAAAAATCTGTCATAGTCCTTTGGGTTAAAAGGCCAGTTTTGGCTGGAAAACCTCCTGAAAACTTAACACTGATGTTTTTCAGTCCACTTATTTATTCAGCTACTTGACAACGTAAGCAAAGAAACAAATAAATTAATCTTAAGAAAAAGAACCATTAATTTTGGGGGGAAAAAAACAGGACAATCCTTTTTTTGCCGGGGGGGGGGGGGGGGGGAGGAGTGAAGGTGCTAAACTCTATGAATGAGAAGTGGATGTTGAATTGAAGACAAGATATATCATAAGATTGTTAGAACTAACTGACCAGAACAATCTGTCATATGCAAATTTTGACATTATGAAATAAAGTTAGTTTGATGCACATCTTAGGGTAAAGAGAAGGAACAACCACATGCTGGCTGTGGTCTGTGCTGTGGGAGATGACAGGCAGACAGGTTTTTTGGAGCTAATCAACAGGTAGCTTAATGTCCTTCCTTGGAAGAGCTGTTTAAGAAAAGCTCCATTTGTTAATGGAGAGAGGCTTTGCTTTCTTAATGGGTTGATAAACACTGAGTTAGGGGTGATAAACATTCCCTGCTGGGCTGCTTAGAAGAGCCTGGGTGTGGGGAGAGAGAATAATCAGAGCATTCTGCCCTGGCCTGGCCACATCCCCCTAAACTCAGTCTTGTGGAAGCAAAGGGAGGGCTGCTCTAGTGCCCCCCAGCTTCTAGCCTGAGCCCCTGCAGGCATGTGCCTGTATTTCTGGGATGTTTGTCCAGTTACAAAACTGATTTAG